CCATTTTACAGGAACTCTCTCTATATATATGGCAACAATAAACGATATTGGAGTAGCAGCAGCAATAAATATAGTTACAGCATTTGCTTTCTTAATAGCTTTTGCTATATTCAGGATTCAACCAGTAAATGACAGAGTTTATTTCCCTAAATGGTATCTTAAAGGCTTAAGAAGTAGCTCTATACAAACTGGTGGTTTTGGAAGTAAGTTTATCAATTTAGACTTTAGATCCTATGTCAGATTCCTCAATTGGATGCCTGAAGCTCTTAAAATGCCTGAACCTGAACTTGTCGATCATGCCGGACTCGATTCTGTCGTCTACTTAAGGATTTACTTACTCGGGTATAGAGTTTATCTCCAAAGCTCTTTTGCTTTCTTCTTTCTTTACTTAAAGAGTTCTTGATTTGATTGAATTTTTTTGCAGGCTCAAGATCTTTGTCCCAATAGCTTGTGTTGCTTTTACAGCAGTGGTGCCTGTTAATTGGACAAACAAGGCATTGGTTGGGTTAAAGCATTCGAATATAAGTTACAGTGATATCGATAAACTGTCTCTATCGAATATACCAAATGGATCAGTAAGGTAAAGAGATTGGTGGCTTTTGTTCCAAGTCATTCCAATAGTGTAGTGATTGATATATGATCATTTATTGGTCTTCATGTTTCCAGTAGATTTTGGGTGCATTTGTGTATGGCTTATGCAATCACCTTCTGGACATGCTTTATCCTGAAAAGAGAGTATCAGAATATAGCTTTAATGAGGCTACAGTTTCTCGCTAATGACGAAAGGAGACCTAACCAGTATACTGTAATGAAAACTCTGAATCTATTTTGTTCCTTTCTTGATAGAAATCACTTACTTACCCATTTTGTAGCTGAAACTTGTTGGATTTTTGTTTAATGTTTAGGTGCTGGTAAGGAACATTCCTACTGATCCTCATGAATCAATCTGTGAACTTGTTGAACATTTCTTTAAAGTTAACCATCCAGATCATTACCTTACTTACCAGGTAAAAACCATCTTTGGTTAATTTTTCTGATACATATCCCATATCTGACTTTGATTTCTTGGTTGACGATTCTTGATCTGCTTTTAACTCAGGCAGTTCACGACGCAACCAAACTCTCGGAACTGGTTCAGACGAGGAAACAAATGCAGAATTTGCTTGATTACAATCTAAACAAACAAATGAGAAATCTATCTAAAAGGCCAGTAGTAAAGGTATAAACTCACATTTACAAAAAGCTTATCCTTTGTTGTTTCTCGTTAAGACTCATTTCAATGTTTGCAAGCAGATGGGGTGTCTTGGTTGTTGCGGTGAAGAAGTTGATGGAATCAAGTACTACACGTCTATGGTCGAGGGTCTAACAAGAGAAGTAAAAAAAGAGCTACTCTATGCTTATTGCTTTTATTCTTTATCCTCATTTTGAAACATTTAATCAAACGTATTTTTCGATGTTTCAGATAGCTGAGGAGAAAGAGAAGTTAAGGACCGGGACAAAGTCGATAGTGCCTGCAGCTTTTGTGTCTTTCAAGAGCCGTTACGGAGCAGCGGTTTGTGCTCAAACTCAACAGTCAAGAGACCCAACAGAGTGGCTAACCGAGTGGGCAGCAGAGCCACGTGACATATACTATGATAATCTTGCATTGCCATATGTCGATCTTAAGATAAGGAGGATCATAGTCGCCGTTGCATACTTCTTCCTCACTTTCTTCTTCATGATCCCAATAGCATTTGTACAGTCACTCGCCAACATCGAAGGGATAGAGAAGGCTTTTCCTTTCTTGAAGCCTCTTATAGAAGTGTATGTCTCTGTCTATCTCCATGA